CAGGCTAGTTTTTTTTCTAGTTTAAAGAGTTGGAGTGGCTGCTCACGCACTTTTAGGCAGGAGAATGGGGTGAGAAAAATTTTTCCTAAAAATTCAGCTTCCTTGCTTTTGCGGTTCCCGAATTGTAAACAGGGGACAAAACGTACTCGGACACCAGACACACACACACACACACACACACACACAGGGACGTGACGGTATGTAATAAGTGTTCTTGCGGTACACACCAAGCATAATTGTATTACGATCACATGTTCTAAACTACGTGTTACTGATCAAAAACCTGCGCACTTCATCAGTCTTCTGAAATTCGATTGATTCAGGATAGTTTCGCGGTAACTGTCCTACGATATTTTAGCATTTTTAACAGTTATATGTGGTTGTACTTCAGTAAAATCGATGTATTACACCGATACTCCCGGTACCCAGTTGTGTGGGTTTTTTTTTTTTTTCAAAAGTCATGCTTGCTGTGTTACAGGATAGTGGAACATATACATGGAAAATGAAAGCCCGAGAAAAATTACAGGATGCTGTTCGCGTTGTATGTTTTGTTTATATCAAAAACTTTTTTTTTAGCTTGATTTTCTTTTTCTTTAAATTCACTGATTTCGTAAATAAAGTTAACTGAATCCCTATTTTTTTAGCTCTATCCGCAATCATCGCTGGTCGCTTTTGGTTCATCGATTAACGGCTGTGGTGCGTATAATTCGGATATGGATTTATGTCTTTGTGTGGGTGAGCAAGAGTACGATTTTTCAGCGAGAAGAAGGCATGATTTTTCAAGATTTTTTTTCCAGTAACGCAATTTTTTCGCTTTTTAAAATCACGTTTTAGCTTGTTATTGTACTAACCTATTGGAATTCTCGCCGTTTTTACTAAAAATTCGTTTTTGTCATTTCAGGACACCTTTGCAAACTTAATATTCGTGTTTTTTTTTTTTGTTGCCGACAGGCGGTTTTAGCGCCTCTGGGAAGAGAACCGCTCTCCGTCACCCTCCTCTTCGGGCCAGGAGTTCTGCGCAGCATTTTTTTTAAGCAATTTTTCATATACTTATTGGTGAAGTACACTTTGTTGGCAATTTATAAGAGGTACCAATTTGGCTGGCAGCAGCAGAAGCTGTGTTCTGTGTCGCCTGGCATTTTCTTTTTTGGGAAAGTTCTAGAAAAAAATAAGAGTCGCTTAAAATTTATTATTGTCAGTGTTGCACGAGTCTAATTTTGCACATTGGCCTTTTTCCTTTGTGTATTCACCGGGATTGTTTTCTTGAACCACTTAAATAGTGGCATAGTTAGTACTTCTTCGAATTTGAAAATTCTGAAAAATTTTGTCAAAAAAGTAAAAATTTTTAATTTTGGATGTTTTTTGATATCACTGAAGTAAGCTTAAACGATTATTGTTATTATTATTATTGTTATTATTATTATTGTTATTATTATTATTGTTATTATTATTATT